TGGCTTGTCTTAGTCAGCCACCAAAAGTTCGCTTGGTGGGACGGGAACACCCAGCACTAACCCAGCACCATGCAGTTCGCTGGGTTTTTGGAACCCCGCCCTCAATTTGGTGTTGCTGGACCTGATCAATTGGATGAACACCCCCCCGCGACGAGGATTTGGGTCAACCGTGGGCCGAAAAGAGGAGGCCGAAGACTCGGGTTTTGTTCGAAGAGAACATGGCAAGCCTGGATCAGACCATGCATGACCATGCTGGACCCACGTGCCAATCACAAAGGCTTGGAAGAGACTACATGCATTCTCAAGTAGGCCACTGCGAGTTTGGATTTGGTGTCTATTGACGCTATTTGTAGCTGATACTATCCTTCGGGGCGCTGGCAATGGAAATAGTGTCCGAGCTCCAGCAGCTTCGACTCGGACCTCGACATCAGTTGGCAGCCCGTACGAAAGCGAGGCATCGCCCATCACTGGCCAAGCGGCTTGGCGTGCGCTGGAGCCAGCCTGTGCTGGCTCCAGCCACTTGTTGGAGTGGCAAAGGCCGAGCCAGTTTCACCCCCTGGCTCCAACAAACAATGATGGAATGCCAGTATTTGAGAACAGTGGGAATGGGTCAAAGCTCCTAAGATTCCTAAGGAACGTGCTTTTTTGCGTAGTTTTCGGTGTTTTCGTATGTGAGGAATAGCTGCTTGCAGGCATGCGGCATGCGCTACAGAAATTATCAGGCTTTGACCCGCACCCGCCATACAGATTGAAAGGGTTTCCAAGAATTATAGGGTTTAGTTTTAGTTTGTCAACATTGGGATGATTCCTTGACCAACCTGAGTCAGGATCTATAGGGCCAGTACCTTTTTGTTTTGCTCGTCTCATGTGGCGTTTCTTTCTGAAGCAGCGCTCTCAGCTGCAGAAATCATGGAAACCTCGGGGAGTCCGCTTGCGACGTTTGCGAGCTTCGTCTCGCAGCTCCCCCACGTCTGGCGCGCGTCCCATTCGTCGTTTTGAATGTTCCCAACGTGGGGTCGGTTCGACCGAGAGCGCGCTCGCCCCCAACGCATGGTTTTTGTGATACTTTTCGTGATGTGATGTGTGATGTGACTGAAAACGGGATGCGAGAGTGTGTGTTTCGACGACAAAGTCGACAAGTTTTGACAGAGACAGGATATCATCAGACATATTCGATCATATTCGGCTGCTGATGATGGTGATTGGTGCAGTGTGGCTGAACCACGTTGGAATCTCAAGCATTGAAACGCAGGACGTTGCTTTCTTTCTTTTTGATCTTTTTGCACCCTCAGAGAAGTTCTGCGAGGCGAAGTTTGGCAGAACCTTTGGGAAGTGCTTCTGTAATTTCGACTGCATAGCATGCCGAGTTGGTCGGGGAAGAGACATGCAGAGACCCCGAGATGGAACGCCAAGCATAGCGTGAATCGGAGAGAATGACGCGTGGTTCGCAGGGTTTCCCTTCTTCACAGAACCTCAGCAAGGTGGTCGTGGGCAGTAATTTCGAAAATGTTCGATATTTTGTTATTTCTTTCGTTCAGAAAAAGAAACCTCCGAAACACTCCATGGGAGTGGCATTTTCCCTACCGTTGGAGTGGTTGAAGAAGGGTCAATGTACGCAGTATGGCAGTATTAGTTATTAATTATTATATACAGCTGCTACTAGGTCTCAATTTGTGACCTGTAGAGTTGGGTGATTCATGGTGATGATATATACGTATATATATATATATGTATGCCAGGACCCCGGTCTGGGTGTCCTGGCTGGACTACCCGACACTACGACTAGGGATCTCCAGCCAGGACACCCAGACAGGATGGTCCGGGTGTGTGCGACGGTTGGTGTTTCGTGATCTGTGTCCAACCCCGGCGACCTCGGGTTGCGTGGATCGGACCAGCGGCGGAAGAGGAGCGCCACGGCCGCCCGCAAAGAGCACTTGGGGCCAGGCGCCCGGGAAAACTCTTACCCAGAAGGCCCCCGACGCACTTCCAGAAGGCCCCAGACTCCAACCACCCAACACCAACGCCTTGGCAAGCCCGCGCCGCCGCCGCAAGGAGCCGCCGGAGAGCCGCACAGAGCACATAATTAGATGAGACCCAGCCCCGTGGACGCCGACCTGTTTTGGCAGCTTCAGCCCCCCCGCCCCCACCCCCGCCGGCCGCCGAAGCCGCACCGAGCAGCGCGCAGCCTGCCCCCCGCCGAACTGTGTGCCACTCGGAGAACACGCCACGCCAACGCACGGCCACGCGCCACCTAAAGCCACCGTATCACCCCCTCCACCAGAACCCGAGGCCTGAAGATCCCCCCGCCCCGGTTCGCCGCCAGGCCGGCGGCTGACCAGCCGCAGGCCGGTAGGCCACCGCAGCAGGCAAGCAGGCAGGCCCGCAAGGAAGCATAGGTACAAGCAGACCGGGCAGGAAAACGGGCAGAGCTGGCAACGCATATATAGCACCACATATTTGTACATAAAATATCCAGCAACAGCCAGCCGGGCGGCCGGCCAGGCTTATTCTTAGTCCCTCCGACGCCGAGCCGCCCGGCGAGCAAGAAAATGGTGGGCCCCGCGAGCGGACCAAGAACCCCCCGACCGACCTGGGCAACAGCCTCAGCACCGTGTCCGTGGCGCACGCGGAAGACTGACATGAGCTATCGTAGAATTCGATTTTTCCCGAGTGCGAGGCGAGATGAGACGGAGCAAGTCATTTTGTTGCTGTTTTAAGCACATTTGTAGGTGCGGTTGTTTTCGCAAGTCATTTCATACAATGAAATCGACCCCGCAGCTAGAAGGTCGACGCAGCTTTGCTTGACGGATATCGCACAGCCCCGTCCAGATGATGTGGAGCATTGCTTGGAAGTGGGAAGTGTTGTGCAAGGTAAATCGAGCGGGAACTGTGTGAGGCCACCGGAAATCACAGGAATACAAGAAAGAAAGGCCTTTGGTCGTTTTACTGCTTGACAGTCGGTTTTTTTGACAGTTCAGTGCCTTCATTCCAAACTCAGAGCATCATCATCATCATCATCATCAACATCATCATCATCATCATCATCATCATCATCATCATCATCATCATCCTACATTTTATAACATGTTATGCACACACACATATATACATATATTCATATACATGTCTACGTGAAGTCTCCACTCACAGCCTTGAGCGAGGGGCCGGTGGTGCCGGAGCGGCACGTTTGAACACCAGTTGCCAGTGGAATGCGTCGATGATTCAACATTGATTCCATTCAAGTGTACAGGTTCAAAATGGCCGAGCATGGATGCCTTTGCTTTGAAGCAGATTCAACGTTATCAAACCTTATAATTTGCAGATTGTGGTGCCATTGTGGTAATATTTGTGTTTTGTGTTTGTGCAGCCAGCTTCCATGCAGACCTTGGGACCCTTGTGCCTGAATGGTGGTGACATCCAGGACGAGCGCAGTGCCTGGAGGTGATGCGACGACCTGAGGTACAAGTGGCAAGTGACAGAGGTTTCCTGGCAATTGATATGGACGAGCTTTAATAGGGAGACCCCCAACTAGTCTATTTGACTTCGTCCAGGGTGTTTTTGGGAGGTCTCCCTATTTTCACTCACGCCCAAATGATCTTGTTCTTCTTTCATCAGGGCGCACCACCCAATGGGGGCAGAATGGTCTTCGAAAGCGCTTGCAAGAACTGGTCTCTGCACGAGAGAAGCCTCTGGCTTCCAATGGTTCATCCCTGTTTCACACTTGCCGGCCATACGAGCCTGGGTTGCAGTACGGTGGCGTCGACCCGCTGTGCCTGAGAGAGGAGTAGATGCAGAGATACGTGGATGGATTTGAATCGGCAGATCTTTTGTTGTTATTTAGCTTCTTGTTCCTAGTGGCTACTTGCTCCTACATGTAGTAGTAAGGCCAGGAGCCCCTAGTAGTGTCCTTGCTTCTGTTTGGAGTCTACAAGACTACCAAAATCTGCCAATTTTTCGAGGGGACACTGCCTGATGAAACCACAATCAAAGACACCTCCAAACACTATATAATTAGGACTAGAGGGGATACTAGGGGTCAATGTAGGTATGGCGCCAATCCCATTCTTGGTGGTTAGTCACAGGAAAGTCTATGTTCTAGGAAAGTCATGTCTTGGGGAACACATACGTTGCTGTTAGGACCGGTGTGATATCCCTAGGGCTCACACCACCTCCGTGAAGGTGGGTTGTGGGTTTGTCCCAACCTTCTGAGGATGTGGAGCCAGCAGTCACTTCCCTTATAGCCTATAGTACTATAGCTTGTAACAAATTGGATGTTGGGGCAGGCTTTGGCCTTGGCATCGCTTTGGGCGATCGAAGGACAGTGTTCGATCATCAGGACACTTTCCCTGGGCATCACTCCCTGAAAAGAATTGGTAAAAAAACACCTGGTTTGCATATAGAGAATAGATGGTCATCCTTACGGTAAAACCACCTGCGGCCATTGTCCACTTCCATGACGATTTCAGGGAGCCTAAGCAGTCCTCCGTTCGGTTCAATCTCAGTGCTTTGGCGAGTCCACTGCTTGGTTGGATGGGGTTTTGGAAGGCTAACCTGCTGGTTCCCTCAACCTGCTGGATGTGTTTTTTTTTGGAGGGTTCCCCCTTTTTTCTGGGCGGTCATCCGGGTTTGAATCGAAGCCAGGGACGAGAGGACGAAGGTCCCCTGTTGAACACATGCAAGTGCACTAAGTTCACTGCAATTCAGATGAATCAACCACTTGGTGGTCTAATTCGGCGTACGGCATACCAGCCCTGGGCGCAAGACTAGTGCGACACCAGACAGAAAGATCCATTGTTTTGGTCTATTTTCGAAAAGGATCTTTACCTATAGACACTCCATGACACTCCATGCCACTGGCATATTTTGCTGAATTGTTGCTACATTGACCTTTGAAATCAACCACTCCAATGTATGGTTTCATATGCCAATCTTCAGGGTCTTTCTGTTTCCGAACTGCTGGAGCTGCCCAGCAAATCCGTGACCCGCAGTGCTGAGAGCAGGCCCCCGCGGCCATACAGAGCAGCCCAAAGGACCTGGAGGAATCAGGCCAGACGCTAAGCTGAACACCTTGAAGAATGAGGTTTTCTTTTAGGGATCTTTTGGTGCTGACTCCTTCATCGCTAGTAGGTTGGAGGCCATCGCTATTAGGTTGGAGGCCATCACTATTAAAGGCCATCGTTCTTTTTCTGACGGATGTTTTGGTGCATGTTCAGTTCCCTTGTGAGTTGGAAGGGTCCGAAGACGGACGACTTGGACGGTTCGACAGAGCTGTTCGAATATCTTCGAAGAAGGACTTTCCGGCCCCTACCCAGTCAGTGAACAACCTTAATCCCGTAGGGTGAAACCGTGAAACCCAAAATCCAAGAGGTGGAAAAAATCACTCCGACTCATGGAAATGGACATCCCCCTGTCATTAGAAGATCGTCTTCCAGGAACCCTGGATTTCCACTTCCATGTGATGGGTTCATCGGAGGGTCACCGGTATTTCCGGAAGACGGCGGATGACGTCGGGGTGTGAGAAAACGTCATGAGACCTGTCCCTTTCGTCTTCGACCTCTACGGTTTATGCGTCATATAATTGCTATAATTTGAAGTGGAAGGCACCCCCTGTTTGTAGCGAAAAATGGTCTCAGAACTTCAGAACTCGGGATTTTTGCCCACTGGGGTCAAATCTGTGAAACATCCTTATTTTCCGGGAGTGTAGACCAATTTGTCACATGGTTGTTTGGTGGTTTTTTGGACCTTTCGCCACTCGGAGGTGGAACCACCCGCCGCCCACCCGCCGAGGCCTCGCGAGCCGAATGTGGCTTGGAGCGTGAGGGTCGCACACAAGGTTTGCCTAGGGAACCAGAAGAAACCGGAGCCATCGTATACCGGTTTGGACTTCGTGTTTCGTGTAGATGAAACAATACAGAGAATTTCTTGAGCTGAATCTGGTGTTTCTGAAGTTCTTCCCATGTTTGTTTTTGTTTCTTTCGCAAAGCAATCGAGTAGCCTTCTGAAGAGAAGGCGGAAGAGAACCCGAATGGCCTTCTTTTTCTTCGCAAACATGCAGAGCAGGAGCAGATCCGGTCCGCGGAAGCGAGTTCCAACGATTTGGTACCGGTACCATCCGGTAGCGATTTTGGAGATGTTCGGGTATAGCAGCAGCAGGCATGCAGCATTTGTGGGCATGATCCACTGCCACCCTCTGATCGGTACGGTGATGTCTTCGACACGGCTCGTAGGTGCACTGTGGACCGTAGAACATCCCCCTTCAGCCGGCCGATCCCGACTCCTCGGTCTGCCGGGTGTGTGAGATCCAAGGGTCCAGCCGCCAGCAATGTCATCGGTGGGTGCCAAGGTTGGACATTTGATGAAATTTGGGTCCCACTGTCCTGCATGTGTTTCCAATCCCCAGCGAAGATGAAGGAGATCAGGGTTACACCCCAAACGGCATTCTACTTAAGAAACCAGACTCAGCAGACTGCTCTTCTTGAGTCTTGAGTTTTTCAAGTCTTGAGAAATGGGGGCAGGATGGGTCGTGACATGTTGTGACCCACCTGTACACCCGACCACTCCACCATTTGCCGCGTTTCCCACTAGGCCATGACCCACCAACCACTCCACCAACCTACTAGCGATAGCCACCAACCAATGAACAATGGCCTCCTCCAACCTGCTACTAGCGATGGCCACCAACCTACTAGCGATGGCCTCCAAGCTAATAGCGCCCAATTCTGTGCCAAGGACCTTCTTGGATACCCCAGGCCACGAGGCCTTCGAACTCTCGCGCGGAAACCCAGGGACGCTGCGACGCTGCTGATTCGACGAACCAGCCCAATGTATGTAAATATGCTCCCATGGAGTGTTCTTCTCGATATCCAGACCACCCAACTGGAGTTGGAACGCCTGATAGCGGACTTTCACGCGCGGCCTGGTGCAGCCATGTGCTGCCCATCCATGCAAAGGGATAGCTATACAGTACACGCATATTATACCTCGGTCTTCATAGATATGCCTTTGTTTCTGCCGTTTTAATCAACGCTGTTTTTGTTCAAGCAAATGCCAACTATTTTGACTTCAAGCACATTTTGCTTTGAGATTTGTTCAATGCTAAGTCAAGGTTTTGAACCGGCGTCTTTTGTCGACCGCTATTTTGGCAACCTCTGTAAAAACATTGAAACGGCACTTGTGAAATGAAACCGTGTCTTTGAGGGCAAAAAGGACTGATATTTTATGATGTTTCGCCAAACCGCAGAAAAAAAACATACGTTTTTCCATTCCAAGTAATATGCTATCATTGTTGGGGTTGTAAGCATCTTAAATTGCAAGCTTAGGCGACACATCATGCTTATGGGGTTTGGTCCAAACCGCGTGTCCAAACCGCATGAGGCGTCGATCTTTCGGTCCTAACTCCGCTCGACGGTGCATTCCCTTCGTCTCCTTGATGGGAGCGGTAGGTCGTAGGTCCAGGGTGGCAGGGACATTGACTCAGTCAACATCACACATGGCACCTCACACATGGAGGTTTGGAGAATCATCCCGGACCGCCTTAGTGTTGGACCCCTCGTTCCAGACCTACACTCCCTGAAATCATCATGGTGGAAGTGGATGGCCCGGAGTTTGGGATACCTGCATCTTCAGAAGACCAAACAGGCGGTTTTCACTCCACGTACATGTCCCCAAACACTTCATCCATGGGACTGGAATATCTACTCTCAATCTACTCTCATTAAAACAAACGTAGACGTACATAATGCCTGTTTCAAAAAGGAACGTCCACGTATATAAGTCTAAGCTGTTTTTATGACTAACTTAGACGTAGTTACAATGCAAAAACATGTTCACTGTGTCAGGACCTTTTGGTTAGTGTACGTCTAAATATGGGGCCACAATTGATTCAAAAAACACATATCAGGGAGCAAGAGCCGTGCAGCATTTTTGAAAGTTTTGAAACGTCCACGTTAGGGTTGTTTTTGTGGATTGTTGCATGTTGCGCCGCTCCTCGAAACACAAGTTTTGGATAGTGTAAGCTTGATGAAGCAGTTGCGTTTTGATTTTGGACACGTTGAGCCCGTTTCAACCACCCCAATGTATTTATAACTATGTCAGTCCCATGGAGTGTTCTTTCTCGTGTCTGGGTGGGACCTCGCGTCAAGATCAGGCGTGGTCGCACCATGGCGGCCGCCGATGTGGGGCCACCGAGTCCGGTGAAGGAACTGAAATAGCAGGAGTCACATGGAGTTGGGTGGTGTGGTGTTTAGTCCCAGCCAGGGGCTGTGGATGTGGGCACTTCCTCCAATAGGCACCCCTTTGGAACTACTTAATTTATGGTTTCTTTTCAAATTCTTTTGCAGGAAAGTTGTTTCAGAGAGAAACCGCTTGATTCCTTGGAGCTTTGATCAGGTTGGTCCTCTACATGGCATGCCATGTATATACCCTTTCTTGTATGAAGGTTGTATGAAGGCCCCATCTCAGTTGTTCCAAGCTGGGGAGAATATGACTGGTAGACCGGTGTGGACTGTGCCTAGGCATGGGACCCACAAACCCAAGCTAACACAGATCTCAGCACGAGGTAGACCCTTCAGGTCAGAAACTGGAGGCTGCGCAGCGGTTGAATCGGTTGAACCAAAAGACAGTTGGGATTTTGCCACCAGAGTTTCCACCTTTCAAACAAATCCTGACAAGAGCTATACAGAGCTATACAGAGCCAGTGGCCAGAGACTTGTGGGAGACTACCAATCTTGAAAAAGCATCCTGAGAATACATTGTCATGATTTCTTCATTCATGGCTCTAGGAGTTGGAGGGGTGCCGAGTTCTGGCCGCTTAGGTGAACAACTACACATCCACCCACTCAGGATACAGTCGAGTTCCGCAACTGCGCAGGATTCCGCAACTAGGATTCCGCAACTAGGATTCCGCAACTATTTCGTCGGATTCCGCAACTGGGATTCCGCAAACTGGGACTCCGCAACTAGGATTCCGCAACTAGGATTCCGCAACTAGAATTCCGAAACTAGGATTCCGCAACTGTCAGGATTCCGCAACTAGGATTCCGCAAAATTGTGGATTCCCTCCGCAACTTTTGTGAATGATGAGGGGGTTGGCGTGATGTCGTGATCGCACGATAAGGACAAGGGGGGGTTGGGTGGGGGGCTAATGACGTTGGCTTGGATGTGCTTCGAAGATGAAGTCGCATGCACACGCTATCGCATGATGTGGAGATCACCAGTTGCAGAATACCAAGTTCAGAATGCCAGTTGCAGAATCTGACTTTCCAGTTTCAGAATCCCAGTTTCAGAATACAAGTTGCAGAATCTGACTTTCCAGTCTCAGAATACAAGTTTCAGAATCCCAGCTTCAGAATCCTAGTTTCAGAACTCCAGTTTCAGAATCCTAGTTTCAGAACCCTAGTTTCAGAAGCCCAGTTTCAGAACCCTAGTTTCAGAATCCGACCGATTAGTTTCCGAATCCGGCTCTAACCCATCCACTCACTTGGGGCTTCAATTCCGCCGACTTGGAACTCCTGGTTGACTCTTAGACTCATGATTCGCCATTCATCCAAATGAGGAGGCTACTAGGTGGTGGCCATCGAAAGTAGGTTGGAGGCCATCGCTACTAGTAAGAAGAAGCTACTAGTAGCGATGCCGGCTTCTCCAATCACTCAGTCAGTCGCTGAGACCGTCGACTGACGCGAAGCGCATCCCACCTCCCTGCTCCCCGTGCCGCACCCAGTCGACCGAGGTCACAGAGGGAGAAGCCATGAGTCATGACCCATGTGCCACCCATCAATGCCGTCATCACCCCGTAGGTAGGTAGCAAAAAACTAGTACTGTAGGTGCTACTAGGCCATCACTTAGCGCCTCGGTGCTTGGGACCTGTCATGACATGTCAATCATCAATCCCCCATGGTCTTGGGTAAGTCTGCCGTTGCTCGTCGTCGACCCCTCTGGGACTCGCCAGGTGGCCGTGGTCGTGGTCTCTGTGGAACGGGGCGCCGAGCTGCAAACAGAGGAGGTCGGACTCTCTGGGATTCGCCACTCCGGAGGTCGGGTACCCTTTCGGTTTGATCCACATCGTATCCACATGGATTCATGGGACTCCTATATATATATATACCAGGACCCGACTCTACAGGTCACCAATTGAGACCTGTTAGGGTCCAACAACCCTCAACTAACAGCCTGTTGGAGGGTGCTGGTATGGATGATTTTGGGATGTAATGACTGGGAAGGGCGTGACGGGATGTCCAAAGGCGCTGTGGCAGAGGCCTGGTGTTGTGTGTTCTGAATGGTGTCTTTGGTGAAGAGCAACACCGCAGCGCCTAGCCTGGCCAGTAGTGGTCCCCAGTATTAGAGTCTTAGTCTTGGGTGAAAAGCCCTTGCAGAGTCGCTGGTCTATTTGCAGAAAGAGTTATTTACGAGTCCATCGTGTCCATTTGTTGTCGCACGACGATTGTGTTTTAGTGAATTCTAGTGCAAACACTTCAACATCGTCTTTCATGCCCGGCGCTGCACCATTTGAGCCAATCAGCTTTCTCCCGAAAACGCAGGTTCTGATGCACGCCTCGAAATGGAAGGCATCGTGTCGGCACCATTTGCGAGTTCTATTTTCTCCTGCCCAAACGCTCATGGACCCTGATATGGAGAGGTCCGGGGTCGAAGAGTCGAACCAATCCCTAGGTTTTGAGGGACCAGTCGGGCTGTGAACGGAGCGTTTGGGTGACACACCCGATCTAGTCAGGTGTTGTAGCTACGTTGGCTTCCCCATGCAGACTGGTCGATGGAGCGAAGCAGACTGGTCGATGGAGCGAAGCAGACTGGTCGATGGGTCGGAAGTGTCGGTCGAACATCTACATCCACATGGGTGTGTAATTGAATGGGAAGACCCCCTGGCCCAAAAGGTAGACTGGTCTATTTCTCTTCTTCCAGGGGGTTCTTTGGAAGGTCTCCCTATTTCAGCTACACATCCACATCGGGGTCTTTCAAGACCATGTGCAACCTGTGCTATCGCTGTGGTGTTTGTCTGTCGTCTGCCTGTCTCGGTGTTTTGACCCCGGTGCGTCCAGAATCCTGCAACCCCGGTGCTTCACCGGTGCTTCATGAGGTGAGTTCAATGGTAGCTGCAAATTGGCGCAGAGGGAAGCGAAACACTGGCTGTAGAACAAAAACAAACAACCTCTTATTTTCCAACGACCCTGTGAAAATTGGCCTTTCAAGATAACCTTGTGGCAAGTGCTGCACCTCTTTGCAGGACAAATTGTTTCAAAAATACAAAACTATTCGAAGGAAAGCACTGTCCTATGAAAAGAGAATGGACATAGAATTCCTTCACACACACACACACTGGGATGTTTCAGAATGACATGTCGGAACGTGCGCAGGAACTGTTTGTCTAAGGGACCAAATTGACCCACAAGGTTGACTAGTCAAAAACAAAAAGAACAGCTGTGACAGCTTTCTGAATTTGGAGTCAGTCCTGGATCATGAGGCTTCAGGAGGGTTCATTCATGGGATCCCCAACGCTTCACGCCGGCGGGGTGGTGCTTTTTTTAGACTACAGTAACATAAGTTGAGATACGTGCGAATGTAATACGGTTTAGTAAGGTTCACCAACGGTGTAAGTACAAACAAAGACAGCTAGGGCTAGAGCCGATACTTTTGCCCATACCGCTGAAAAAAAACAAACGGAACGTCAAGTGGTGCTTTTTATACCAACGGACTCACTTATAACACGGAAGTGGAAAATGGACCCAATGAATGTTTCCACTTCCATGTTAGTGAGTCAAAGTGCATAATCCAACATCATCCCCTCTTAGTTCCTGCAGCTTCAAATAAGATGAAAGGTCGATGAACATCCATGAACTATATGGTTTCCTCCAAGATCCCTTCCGTAACCCCTATGAATCTTGGCCTCTGAATCTTGCAAACACGGATGACGTACATCATCTCCGTCCTTGGAAGAGTGACTCCTTGTGCGGGAGCATTGGTGATCATCACCCTTTTGGACGTTCTTTGGGACATTCAACGTTCACCTCATGTGTTCCATGTTGTTCCATGTCATTTCGATTCACTCCGGGAGCCATATCGCTGGTGCTGGGAACCGCCAGCGGGGCTGGGAAGCGCTCGGTGCTGGTGGACACGCTGCGGGTCGTTTGGTCCTGGCGGTGGCAGGTCACATGTTGAGAGTCGGGGGGGTCTAGTGTCCAGGTCGTTTGGTCGACATCTCCTTGCCCCACTGGGTCAGGTGCCGGTGATCTTCGCACTGAATAAGATCGACCTCCCGGAGCCGGGGGGGCCTTTGTCGTGCGGACGTCCGACGGGGAAGACGGACGTTCCGGTTTCGGCGGGACGAAAAAGAGGAGATGGGTCATCATGTGAAAGGTCGGTGAAAGGCAAGTCCTCCAAAATCGTCCATCCTCAAGGAGATCCGGTGAATGCAATGCAACTCTCAGAGGTGGTAAACCGGACGACACCGGACGACTGTCATCAATCACCGATCGAACGGAGGGGGCAGCTGCTGATCTTGGACCCTCACAACTCGCCCTTGATATGCAGGTAATGGTCAAGATGGGGGATGGACAGTTGCGTTTTTCTTTTGAGGATGGTGGAGATTGGCTTCACTCATCTTCACTCAAAATAACATTTCCTAGAGATGCATGTGTGGAGATTTGGGGATCATGAGTGGGCTAGCCGGCATGATGCGACCCACCCATGAGTGTGGCACTAGCCAGTTAGTAGCGATGCCCTTTGTTGCTAGTAGCTTCTTATTCCTATAGTAGTAAGGCCAGGAGCTACTAGTAG